GTACTGATATTACTGTTACATTACAATAATCATGTGTAGGCACCCATTACAACAGTCTCTATGTGTACTAGACACAACTACTTCTGTTTTTTTTGACAACTGTAACATTCATCATAACCAGTTCATTTTTATGTTGCTGTATAGGGCCCTCTTCTGGTCATTAAACAGCTTTGCAGAGGTACACTTTAATAGTGCAGCACAAAATGGAATTTTGTATTTAAAAAAAATTCTCTGAATCATGGCACTAAAATGTAAAATGCTGTATACAATCAAGAGATTAAGAAATTAACTCTCTTAAAGAAATTATTCTGTAAGTCCTCAAATACATTTTTTCTGAGATTTTCTGAGCATTTTGATAAGCAACTAATTAATGATCAAATGTCGGTCACCCACTTTTTGAAAAAAAATGTATTCATGAAAATCTTATAACTGTACACAATAGTTCCTAGGAGAATTAAGGAAGACAAGGTTCTTTGGGTAAATGTAATATATTTTATTAGACCAACTAAGTAGCTGGAAAAATTGTTCTTTATAAGCTTTTAAGCACAAGCACCTTCAGGCCCCTGCAGGACATGCTTGGCAATCTGGTGGTTGCACCAGACAATAAAGCTGACCTCTTTAACTTATTCTTTGCCTTCATATTTCTGAGCCAGAGCCAGGACCAGGACTTCCCCCACCACCCAGATCCCAGATGAACTCAGGAGAGGCACAGCTGGGCCCAGGGTCAGAGAGGACCCAGTCAGGGAAATCCTGGTGGGACTGGATGTGTTCAAATCAGCAAGTCCAGATATCTCCACCCAAGAGTGCTGAGGGAATTAGCAGAGGTCACTGCGGGACCCCTGGCACAGCTCTACGAGCACTTGTGGTGCTCTGGTAAGGTGCCAGAGGATTGGAAAAGGGCCAATGTGGTTCCCATTTTCAAAAAAGGGAGGAAGGAGGACCCAGGAAACTAAAGGCCTGTTAGTCTTACTGCGGTCTTGGAGAAGCTCTTTGAGAAAATTATCCAAGAACATATCTGTGAGGGACCAGCCGGGGAGATTATCCTTAGGGGCAACCAACATGGGTACATTAGAGGTAGGTCCTGTCAAACCAACCTGCTTGCCTCCTACGACCAGGTCACAAAATCCTTGGACGCAGGTGTCGTGGTGGACGTAGTCCTTCTGGACTTTAGGAGGGCCTTCGACACTGTCTCTCACCCTATTCTTATTAAAAAATTAGGCAACTGTGGCATCAGTCCCTACACAGTCAGATGGGTCGCAAATTGGCTGGAGGGCCACACCCAGAGAGTGGTGGTGGATGGGTCATTTTCGACCTAGAGGCTTGTGGGCAATGGGGTTCCCCAGGGCATGGTCTTTGGGCCCACACTGTTCAACATCTTGATCATCAACTTGGACGAGGGGGTGAAAAGCACCTTGTTCATGTTAGCAGATAACACTAAGATGTGAGGAGAAGTGGGCACGCTAGAAGGAAGGGACAGGCTACAATTAGATCTAGACAGGTTACAAGGGTGGGCAGATGAGAATAGG